ATCCTGCATGAATTTAGTCTTCCACATCACCATGTTTCCAATGAATCCTCTCTATAGCATCCCTTCAGGAATTTCAGTTTTCCACATCACCATGTTTCCAATAAATCCATCCCTATAAGCATCCCTGCAGGAATTTAGTCTTCCACACCACCATGTTTCCAATAAATCCTCTCTATAGCATCCCTACAGGAATTCAGTCTTCCACATCAACATGTTTCCAATAAATCCTCCCTATAGCATCCCTGCATGAATTTAGTCTTCCACATCACCATGTTTCCAATGAATCCTCCCTATAGCATCCCTTCAGGAATTTAGTCTACCACATCACCATGTTTCCAATAAATCCTCCCTATAGCATCCCTGTAGGAATTTAGTCTTCCACATCACCATGTTTCCAATAAATCCTTCCTATAGCATCCCTGTAGGAATTCAGTCTTCCACATCACCATGTTTCCAATAAATCCTCCCTATAGCATCCCTACAGGAATTCAGTCTTCCACATCACCATGTTTCCAATAAATCTTCCTGATAGCATCCCTGCAGGAATTTAGTCTTCCACATCACCATGTTTCCAATAAATCCTCCCTATAGCATCCCTGAAATGTATCAGTTGATTTGATTTTTATTTTTTCTGTATTTTTAGAGGCATTTGCTGATTCTCAATTAAATTAATTAACAGTTTTATGTATGCGTGTAGAAATTAGTTTTGTATTTTATTTACCTTTCCATCAAAAAAATCATCAAATAATTGCAATTAACTTTATTCCTGTACAATATACAATTTGAGGTGCACTAGTATCTCTAATAGTGTGTATGGCTGTTTTCGCTAAATCAGAATGATAAGGAATTTGTTTTGAATTTGTGGGTGGGGTGGGGGGGCAATAAAAAGAAATACACATTACTCCATCGTGTTTAACATTTTATTTTAACCTTGCATATTGTCTGTTTCTTTTATAGAACTTTGAAGCCTGGAATAATTTGTCAACTGCTTATATTAAAACTGACCAAAAGTAAGTTATATATTCTCATGGGCATTTGACTGTAATTCCTCGCTTCGTGCCATATCTGAACCTAGAGGTTGAGATTTGTGTTTGTAAAACTTGAAATTCAATACAATGCAAGTAGGATTTATCAGTAGATTTCTGTGCATACTAATGAGCAAATTAGCATAATCAAAGTTAACATCTTTGTTAAATGCCAAGATTTGATGTTGGTTTACAGTCTGGGTTTTTCGTAACATCTTAATCAGAAGGCTTGAAGTTCAATCCACATCTCTGTATGCAATTATAACAGTAATTACATGTACAATGCATATTAATCAAAAAATTAATTATTATGTCCACATGCTTTTTTTTCAATTTCATAGTTTTGTCCCTAAACTCTCATTGGATGTGTGAATTGTTACCATTCGTTGCATTCATGATATGCCTAATAATACAGATTTGAGGTCATCGACATTGAAAAAAAATCATATTTTAATAATATTAATATGTAGCAATATTTTATGCTCTCCACAATGAGAACAGTAGAATGATTGAGATGCTAAACTGATTTGATTTATGATAACATGAATATCTGTCATAATTCACTCAGGATGAAGGCTTACAGAACACTTCAAGAAGCACTCAGGTGTAATTATGAAAGCTGGAAAGTATGGGAGAACTTTTTATGGGTGAGTTAAGATAACATAAACATGATTGTCAGAGAAAGAAAGAGAGAGTAATATGCTATGATGAACTCATCAAGGCTATAGGGTGCTCAATGTTTTTTTCTGGTTTTCTTTTGTTGTAGAGGATAATAAATACAATGTTGGTTTGTTTGTTTTACTCCATTGATTTTTACGACGGTATTAATCTTGAATAACCAAGGCAACCATAAAAGTTTCATTTTTGCTGGTACATGTTATAAATACATGTGCCAACAGTGATACTCCCTTTTTTCCCAGAATCACCATGAAATAATTTTTCTTTCTCCAAGCAAATCAAATTACATATAATAATAATTTTTGCCCTCCAAAAAATATATAAAATTACAATTATGAAGATTACTGAATTGCATTTTACTGGACAAATTAGAAGGTTGCGCAAAAATCAAGCATAGTGGCAAGACTGCCTGCCAGAACACACAAATCATAAAAGGTTTCAAATTTCATTATTTTGTAATCAATTTATAAACAATTTGTATAATAACGAACTTAAGATAATGAAACGTGCGAGTTTATGGGTTAGTGGGACGATTTACTAATTCTGTCTCCATTGAATCAAATCATTCATCATGGCAGCTAATAAATCTTTGAACGTCACAGTCTGCTTTTATCGTTTTTCCCGATAATAAACAAAAAAAGTGCATAATTGTTTCTGTATTATTTCAAGAATTTTAATTTAGACATGGCATAACCAATGAGAATATATATTCACTTGATCCAAAAATAACAAAGTATTTATAAAATACGTTTATAAGCAAAATGATGACGTTACTTGGATAATGCACCATTTATCGTAAACTGTTATTTTCCCCCTATCTCGCATTATAGTGTAGCCGACACAAACATAGCAGCATGTGTTTTGTAGTAACCGTATGGGCCACTGCAGGACGCTTTATTCAAGTCGTGCATGATGACCACCTGCCAACAGGAATATAGATTTCTCTTTTCACTAGTTTAATTGGCGTGTCTACTCTCGCACTCGGATATGTTAAACTCAGTGATGGATAGTGATTCACTGCAATTGTCGTCAGCATTTATTTTGAATTCACTAGAAGACTTGTAGTGTATGACATATTTGTGGAACACTTTCACTTGCAATCTTCTCCATTACTAGATCGTCTTTGCTTTATTAGAAAAGTGCATAGACTCTGTAAATGTCTGCTAGGAGAATTAGGTTAGCATTAGTGTTAGGTTTAGCTTATATTTTTCTGTCCATTTTATGCATATGAAACGTAAATCTTTCCAACCAAGATTATTGTTGCAACAAGTATTTTTCTATAATTTGTTTGACAATTTTGGGCCAAATGAATATAATATTCTAATTGTTTACAGGTTTTGACGAAAATTGTTGAAAATAATATGGAAAACTTTATACTTTTGTTAGAAGTGACCAATGTTAACTTGGGCATGCAGAGGATTAATATTTAATGTACATTGCTATAAATATTTCCCCAGACATGCACCGATGTTGGTCAGTTTGAAGACACCATTCGTGCGTATCATCGTTTGTTAGATCTAAAGTCCCATTATGTCGATGCTGAAGTACTACAAATATTGGCTGATGCGGTTGTCAAGGGAACAACAGATACAGAAGGACGGTCAGGTATGATAAATATACAAACTTTTTAATCACTGGAGACAAAAATTTAACATGATGAAACTAGCCAATTAGATGGTTTGGTATGATTCAAAAACTCTGTGCAGCATGACTTATAAACTACATGGAAATTGTGTATTTGACTGATGAAAATAGTACATAGCAGAAAGGTTTGCTATTAGGATTATGACTGTTGGCTTTTTTTCTGTGGTCAAATTAAGAGTAATATTAATATAAAGCCAAAGCAATTTTTAGCACTTATGCTATTACAGATGCACTTCTATTAGAGTGATTATGGTATACCGAATAAGTAATGTTATAAGCTATTTTCCCAAGTTTTATTGAAATGTAACACTTTACTGTGAGGGCGCTATATAACACATTGAGGTTATTCATCAGTTAGTTCAATTCAGTTGTGATTTTTGAATATTATGCTGGGATCAATAGTGTTCTGCAATATAAAATACATACATGTTGTTTTGCTGGAATGGCATTCTGAAAATGCAAATAAAATAATTATCATGTTTTTTTTATCGCCGGTAAATGTAAAAGTCACAGTTTCAAGTTTGGTGTTTTGTATTGACTTTTCCCATGATTCAATGTGCATCAGTTAAAATGATTCAAAGTTGTGCAATAAACAAGGTTTTTTTCTTCGTCATTTCCAGCTTCAAGGTTGAAAAGAAAGGCACTGGAATTATTTGGGAAACAGACTTCACAGGTGACAAATAATTCTGATGTTTGGATGGCTTACGCTACATTGCTTGGAAGGTGCCAATCAGATAACGAAACTGATAACGACAAGGTAAGCTGGACGCCAACGTAAGCTACAGTGTAAACACTGATTGGCTGAATTCTGTCTGGAGACGCTTACTTCAAAGTAAGATGTTCTCCAATTGACTTTTTGGAGATTTCCTTCTATGCAAGCTGTACATTGATTGACTCCATCTTTTCTGGAGACTTACTCTAATGTAATCTATACACGGATTGGTTTAATTCTTTCTGGTAACTTGCCATACTTCATTATAAGCTACACTCTGATTGGTTTAATTTTTACCTCAGTCCAGCAGGTTTTTATAAAATGCTTTTATGCCTATAATCCGAGTTTCTGTTCAATCAGCTCATATTGGGCTAGATAACTTAAGGTGTGACATTGTTTTCCCCCTAACCTTCTTCTCCCAACTTATATTTTCCATTCACTCACCAGGCACTTCAGTGTTTACAGAAAGCCCATAGAGTGAGAACACAGGCTGGACACTGGTTTAATGAGTTCAAGTCTTGTAAAGAAACCTTACAAGAATCAATTCAACTTGCACAAGGTATAGATTATATATGTGTGTAACCAGGCGGCTAGAATATATATTAGAATAAAATTGAATTCTATTCCACCATGGTACCACAGTAGTATATGTTCCTATTCATTATCCCATACAGCAGGAGAGAGAATGTGTCACTCCTGAAAATATGCACGTGGTTACTTTCTTGGAAGGCTAGTACAAAATTACATCTATAGACATAAATTTTCTTTTGTTCCATTTGTACTATGGATTGAGCATGTCTGCTATAATTCCCATTGTATATCTCATCATAGGTACCACCTTTTAAGCTGCACATCTACATTTTCTAATATCTGTCACTGTTCTATTGTGTCACAGCCTATATCAGCTGCAGTTCAAAGAAAACCAATTCAGGGGAATCAGTACAGTTACTATCATCGGCAAAATTAATGTTGAAGCCAGTCTTGAGCAAGGTGAAGGTAAGAGAAATGTATGTGTATAGTTGAAGTGTGTAAAGTGATTTTTTGATTGTAAAGACAAAATCATGCGTGTTATTGGCACAAACTCAATATACAATGGCGCCCTCTAGAGAAAAACAACACATTGACATTGTTTTTTTCAATCCACAGCAAACACACGAGGATGTGGTTAGCGGAGACATTCATCCAGACCTCGCTGAAACCTACAAGGCAGCAGAGCAACAACTTCAAGCCATAGTAGAGCTAATACAACAACAAAAGTAAACCAGCCTGCAACAAAGACAATTGGATTAAAATTATTTTAATTCTGTGGACTGATATGTATATTTACAATTATTGTTCTCTTGTCCAATCATGTTGTACGATACATACAATATAGTAAATATCTACTGGAAATTAAACATGTCTTTGTGGTTTTTTAATAAGCACCATAGTATTCTACATTCTCAGACCAACTTAGACTTGTACTACCGGTATGATAAATTAAGGTTTCAGCAAGAGGAAATGAATCATTTGAAAATTAGCTGAGGAAATGTACACTAAATCTTTGTATCTTAAAAGGAAAGTCAATGTGGTAATGGTCTGTATGATCACAATTTGGAAATCCGTCAATGGGTGTCCAAGATATAGCTCCGGATGGACAGAACGAAGCCAAATTAATAGTCGCTGTTTTCGGACTTTGTCTGAAAGAAGACTAAAAATGGCAGCAAGTTGGCTGAATTAGACCAGACTACTTAAAGAAATCAAGTGCTTATGTATCATGACTAAGTGCCTGTGTAGTAACTTAGAACATGTCTTGTTATAGAGAAACAGTAAAAACAATGATTCTGAACACAAGGAAACTAAATTAATAAATAAATCCATTAGGGATTTGAAAATTAGTTGTGCATTTTTCTATCGCTGCTTACCTTTAAAAAAAAAAATACTGCTTCAACTTCTATCTTGAGAATCAATCTACATTCAATTGAGTTGTGTTTTATGCAAATTAGCTCCTAATATGCATAGATTTGTACCCAAAAAAAAACTATTTACAATACACCTTTCCTATAAATCATGTCTGGTTAAAAAAAAATTACCATGTCACTGCTCACAACATCTAAAAAATCTAGGTACGGTAGAGTGTGGCACATGTCTTGATTACAACAAAATACAAATCGTATTTACTCTATAACAAAATTGTGTTTATATAGCCCAGAATGTGTTAGACTATATGCAACTAATGCCTAGAATTTACATGTGTATGAAGTGTTCCACTTGCTATAAGACTCCACAAAAACATAGAATGTTTGAAGGTGATAAAAAGATGACTAGGTATCAGCATACTCGGTATCACAACACATAACA